CAACAGTTGGGAAACCTCTGAATGCAAAGAACTTGAAGAAGATGAAGCTGATAGAGAATATTCAGAAGGAACCCAGAGCTACTCCTATTGCTGATATCACCAGCAGAAGAGTGCCTCTGAGTGACTTTCCGTTATTTTCTGAAATTGAATCCAAACCAGAGGTGGTTCTCAGGTACTTGGATGCGTGCAAGGCAGATGGTTCAGATCCAAATCTGATTATCAAAGCTCTGCATCAACCTCAGCAAGAAGTGACTCTGAAGAAGACGAAGAAGAGGAAGGCACCATCAGAAGGATCATCCCAGCAGACACCCAGGAAAAGAGGTAATTCATCTGCTGCTCCTGTTTTAAATTCTTCTACTATTCCAGCATCTATTCCTCCTCAAACCTCTCATAGAATCTCAATCCCCATCCCTACCATCGATGAAACTGTACCAGAAGAGGACCCTTCTGAGGCATTAAAACTCAGAAGACCCAGAACCAAACATCCCAAACAACCAACAATCTCAACAACATCAGCAATTGATCAAGTGTTGTCTGACATTGATCAACACACCTCTGATCAACCAATCTCTGAACCACAAACTGTTCCTCCTCCACAACCAGAACAACAACAATCTGCTGAAGAACCAGAACAACAACAACAACAACCACTCTCACCAATTCCAGAAGAACCCATTATCCCTGAACAATCAGAAATTCCAACAACTTCTCCTCAACCAGCAATTCTGTCTCCCTCTCCCCAACCAGAAATTAATCCACCATCACCTCAACCAGAGTTTCATCACTCTGAAACTCCTTCTCCTCAACCATCTGAACCTCATTCACCTCAACCATCACCTTTGGCAATCCAGCTGCCAGGTGGAACAACTATCACCTTAGCACAATTGCCATCCTCATCAGAATCTACACCACCAAATACTCCCAAAACACCACCCAGTCCAATCATAATCTCTGATTCTGATACTCCATCTCCAAAACAAACAGCTGCCCAGAAAACCTCCGAAAACCCCAGCAGGACTTTCATAGACTTAACCAGTCTTGACCGTCTTGCTGATCTGAAACATAAAATTGCCATCCCAAAACCAAAACAATCAGATGTTGGCTCTGGTATTATGAATTTTGAAACAGGTGTGCTGCAATGGATTGCTTCTTTGAAGCAAGTCTGTCTTGGAATGATTGACCCAGCTGCTTCTGATCAGCTCTGGTCACAATTCAGACTTTGGGTACGTGCTGAAGCCCTCAAGTTGCAGGATATGAACTATGAGCATGCACAACAAAATTTTAGCAAGCTTCTGAATGAAGTTGGAAGTCAGCTTCTGAAAGAAGACGTGCTCCCTCTGGATAGTGAACCTTGGTCTGAGAAACAGCAAGCTGCAAAGGTGCAATCAGAAGAAGACAAGACCATTCTAGCTGAAGAAAGTCAAGCAGAAGATGTTGCTGAGAGCTCTCAGAAGCTTCCTGCTTCTGATGCTTCTCAAGCTGCCTTGGACAGGCAGACTCTGGAAGAACTAAGGCTGAATGACATGCGTCTGCAGCAGCGGATGGATGAAAGCGATCAGAAGATGAAAGAATGAATGGATGTGCAGGATAGCAAGATTGACACTGTTGTCAGCATGGTGCACAAGCAGAATGAGACTGCTGAAAAGATCCAAGCCATGCTGGAGAACCTGTTCACACGCTTGCCTCCTCAACCTTAGTCTTTTTTCATTCATGTCCTTTTTCATGTTTTCCTTGATTTTCTGATGTACTACTTGAATGTGTTTTGTACTATTTTCATGTTTTGATTCTGAACTCTTTTAATATAACTAGTTTTTCTGATCTTAACTGTTTTAGCACATCACTTACACTTTTTTGATTGCTGACAAAAAGGGGGAGAACAAGAATGATATTTTAAACAATAACGGCTAACTAGACAGAAATTCTCAAACATTCTAACTCTATTACGTGAAAATGTTTCTCTGTTTTGCTTAAAGTCTACAGGTACAAGGAAGCTCCTGGACACTCTGAAGACTAGAAGCTCTGATCACTATGAAGCTCTGATCCGCTCTGATACTCTGATCCAAAGCAAAGCTCTGACAATAAAAGCTCTGAAGCTCTGCTCTGACATAAAGCTTCTGATAGTCAAAGACTCTGATACTCTGACGTTTCAAAGAAAGGCAAAAAGATCTGATCCTGAAGAACACTTGTAATCAAAGGGAAGTAATAAACTCAGGTGGAGTATATCTCTTAACTCTGATATATTTTTACTCCTTATCCTTTGTACTTCTTACTCTGATGCATATCTCTGATACCTTTTCACGTTATTCTCATTTAAAAATATCTAGTTTTTGTCATCATCAAAAAGGGGGAGATTGTTAGAACAAAGTTTGAATCTACTACCCTACATTTAAGTTTTGATGATAACAAAGTGAAAAGATATACTATTTATGATATTCATATATGAACTACCTGCTGCTTAAAATTATTATGTTCTGACTTGCAGATACTCTGATTGATAAGCAAGATCACATCTAATCAGCATCAGAATTTGGTTCTTGACACCAGCATCAGAAGTTGCCATATCAGAATGTCAGAATCAGATGATCAACTCACGTACATGCTGAAGCCTGATGAACAAGACTGCGCTCAACACTCTGATAAAGAAACACAACAGTTCATCAGCAGCGAAGCAGAGTCAGAATGAGCCAAGCCAGAACTTGTATTAAGTAAGCAACGGTACTGTGCATTGAAAGCAAATTAATTCCAACGGCCTCATTCCAGACAAGATCTGCTCGATAAGGAAAGTTTGTTATTAGCATTGAATCAAGAATATTGCATCCAACGTTCATCATCTCAATGCTATATAAACAAGACTTTGAAGATTGAAATGGCTAATGCTCTCCAAATCTCTACACGCACAAAAGCTAATCATAATCTTCTTTCTCTCAAGTTTTGCTAAACCACACATTCTGATATTCTATCATTGTTTAGCAATCTAGTTTCTAAGCTTCAATTTGTGTATACATCACAGTTGTGATACAGTTTTGTAGAAAACATCCACACACTTAGTTTTATCTCTTTGTAAGAAAGTGTTACCTTGACAAACCGGGTTGTGGTTTGGATCAAGAAGGCTTTAGCAGTTGTTAAAGCAGTCTGTAATATTCAGTTGAATATAGTGGATTAAGACCTCGTTGGAGAGAGGCGAAATCACCTTGACGGGTGGACTGGAGTAGTTTGAGATCAAACGAACCAGGATAAAAATATCTTGTTCTTGCATTAGATTTCAGTTTTACAATTCAACCCCCCCTTCTTGTGTTTTTCACCACTTCACAACCTATTTAATCCTACATTAGGAAAACACTTCTAAAATCAATCACTCAAACACTCGAACATTCAAAAATTCAAATAATTAACTCAAAGACTCAAACAATCAAACACTTAAACCTTCAAACATTCAAACCTTCAAACCTTCAAACAATCAAACACAATGGCCTTTGCACCATAATATATGATCAGTGCACATTTCAACGGTGAGACATACATTTGTCCTACCTATGTGTTTTTGTTTAGAGACCCTGAGAACATCCGATTTTGTTTAAACAGGAAAGCCAATTTCTTGTATTTCAAAAAATGATTGGAGGCCAAACTTGGACGAGGTCCCGTGACACAAATCTTTTATTAGAATCTGGTTTTTTTTGTAACAACCAAATAATATTTTATAAGATTGAGGTTCAAGATGACGAGGACCTTCAGAATATGTTTTCCAGTCATGAGTATTATGCGTACGACTATATTGAGTTGTACATTATGCTGTGAGAGCCTCCACTGTCACAAGTGGTTGATCCTCTGGAGACCGAACAAGAAGAAGTAGATGTCGTTGACGAAGAAGAAGAAAATGACGAGTTAGAGTTTGATGACATGGTCAACGATGATTCTGAAGACGATGGGATACCTGGTATACCTTCGAACGAGATCTACACACCACCTCCACACATGACAAACTTCAACATGGGCGGAGATGAACTGTCATCTGATTTATTTTTCAATCCGTATATGCAATCAGATGAAAACTTAAAAGAGAAAGACAAATTTCGTAATAGAGAAGAATGTATCTGAGCCATAAAAAAGTTTCACATGCTCAACTCGGTCGATTTTAAGGTAGATCGTGTAAATCCAGAAAGGTACAAGATCAAGTGTATCCACCCAGATTGTATGTTCAAGCTCACTGCATCATACAAATTAAGAGGTGATTGTTGGGTCATAGGTTCTATGTCCATCCACACGTGTGTCAATTCTACTTAATCACAAGATCATCTGAAACTAAATTATGATCTCATATGTCAAGAAATCCTACCCCTCGTCAGCAACGATCAATCATTGAAGGTGAAAACCATAATCTCTCACATCACTACGGTATTTAACTATACTTCATCATTCCGAAAGGCGTGGTTAGCAAAGACAAGGCGATTGAAAAGTTATATGGAAACTGGGAGGAGTCATACAAATAACTTCCTCGCTACCTGAATGCACTTCGGACTTATTCTCCGGGTACTGTTTACATTATGGAAACACTGTCGGCGTACATCCCAGATGGTAATCAAATCATCGGAAATGGAATATTCAGTCGATTGCTCTGGGCTTTTCAACCTTGCATCACAGGGTTTGCGTCATGCAAACCAATTATTCAAATTGACGGGACTTGGTTGTATGGGAAATACAAAGGCACGCTACTGATGGCAGTTGCATAAGATGGTAACAACAACATTTTCCCAATTGCCTTTGCCCTAGTCGAGGGAGAGACTGGTGGTGCTTAGAGATTCTTTCTCAAGAATCTCCGAACACACGTGGCTCCTCAACCAGATCTCTGTTTGATCTCTGATAGATATGCATCTATTGAGAGTGCATACAATAATCCTGTAAACGGTTGGCATGACTCTCCTTCTACGCATGTCTATTGCATTAGACATATCGTCCAAAATTTCACGAGGGAGATCAAAGACAAAGATCTTAGGAAAGAGGTTATGAATGCAGGGTATACATTGACACAACCTACATTCAAATATTATCGCAACGAGATCTGATTGTCAAATCCGGATGCCAGTAGGTGGATCGATAACATTCTGATTGAGAAATAGACTAGGTCATACGACAATGGACAACGATGGGGCCATATGACAACAAATATGATTGAATCCATGAACGGGGTATTTAAAGGCATATGAAACCTCCCAGTAACTGCTTTGGTTAAATTAACATATTTTAGGATGGCTTCATTGTTTGTCAAAAGAGGAGAAATATGGAATGCTGTGTTGCAATTGGGACAACTATGGAGTGAAAGCTGCATGAAGTATATTAAGGCAGAAAGTGTCAAAGTCAACACCCATTTGGTTATACGGTTTAACCGACATAGCCACAACTTTATTGTCAAAGAGACAATCGACCACAACGAGGGGCTGCCAAGACAAGAGTATAGGGTTATACTACCTTCTCGTTGGTGCGATTATGGAAAGTTTCAAGCCTTTCATATGCCTTAATCTCATGTCATTGTTGCGTGTGCCTATACTCATCAAGACGCATTACAACTTCTGTCTCCCATTTACAAGTCTAAAACCTTGCTCAACGTATACAACAACAACTTCCCTTTGGTAGCAAAATCTGATTATTGACATGCATACAACGGCGAAATAGTATGGCACAATGGCCAAATGCAAAGGAATAAAAAGGTTCGTCCCAAAAGCAAGTGCATCATAACTGAAATGGAATCCCTTGACAAGCTGGAAAGAAAGTGTGGTTTATGTCGTCAGGTCGGACACAATCGCAAAAATTGTCCGACTAGGGCTACTAGCTTAACCACATAAAAATTGTATCACATAACATCTTTACTTTTTTAAGTTATAAACATTACGGTTTTTCATTAAGAGCATTTGTTACAACAAACCTTGCACGAACAACAAATAAAACACAATAAACCGTCTATGGAATTACAACCGTTAAAACAATTTCATCTGACCCATGCATCATCAACATTACGTCGCTGTCTATTTTGACTTCCTCTAACCAAAAATTAGGTCTTCCTGTCGCAAGTGAGGTGATTGTTCTTCTTCGCTGGATCCTTCTAATTTGTTCCCCATCCTCGATGTCTCCCTCTAGCCATTGCATCAACTCTCTCTTCAGACGCTGCATGGAGTGAATGTGCCAAAACTTCATTTTCATCGGAGGTTTGGTGGCCGAGAAAATAACGTAACCATCTCTGGTAAAAATCATGGGCGATGTCATGACGCAAATAACAGAGAAAAAAATAAGAAGACAGTGCGAGAAAGTGTGAAGAATGATGGAGAAACAAAGGAGTTATTTATAAAAAATGCATTTTACCTTAGGAGTCAAGTGAGATGACGCTTCCTCTCACTTTTAGAGTGCATGCACCATCTCACTTGGCTAAAATAGAGTGCATGCGGCAATTGAGATGGCGCCTAGGGCAAATGGGCCAATGCATGCGCCATCTCACTTGGTTTCTCCCTTGAAGTTTTCTGAAACATTGTTATTTGCGATTTTTTTTTTCAATATCTGATTATTGCAAAAAAAAAATTCCATAGTTAACACACATGTCCACTTTCTCAAAACCTAGATCAAACTAAACTCAAGCTTATTTCTCAACCTCTATCGCATAACTCTTGCACAACAAATTGTAATCTCAACCTTCATAACTCTCTTTACTTTGTAGTCGCCTGCGTTCATATTCTATCACACGAAGGTCCGGAGAAGCTGAAGCGATTCAGATAGTGATAGGGGTAGAGATAGGAGGAGAAGAGAAAGAGAAAGAGAGAGGGAGAAAGAGGAGTAGAAGTGATTCTTCTGGTCAACAACGTAGGTCTGAGGTGAGAACAAATGATGTTAGAGAAAGAAGGAAAATGAGTGAATTGAGGAAAGGGAAGAATGTTGGGGTTGATTATGGGAAGTTGATTGAAGGTTATGATAATATGGTAATTAAAAGCTTCTTAATTTCATTGTTATGGTTTTTTTTTTGGGTTAATTTGGGTAATTGTGATGTTGGATTTGAGTTTCAAGTGTTGTGCTTGAGTTATGTTTATGAATGTTTGTCATTATTTATAGGCACCTGCTGAAAGAGTCAAAGCATAGATGAAGCTCCAACTTTGTTGTTTTGTGTAAGAAACTGGGTTAGGTTTCCACTATCTTGAAGTGTAGTTAGAAATAGTTGCTTCCTAGCTTAACGAATGATATAGTTTATCGAGATTGTGTTAATTGTCTTTTATTTGATACTTTCAAATGCAGCTGCACGGGATGCAGAAAGAGGCGTGCGCTGGGAGCGATTTGAGTTCAACAAGGATTCCCCTCTTGATGATGAGGAAATTGAAGGTCTGATTTGTTTGATCATATTGTTTATGAATGCTATGAACATAAACATATTTGCGGGGTTTCTGTCCCTTTTCCACCGACAATATATTCACTTCAATCTTTTTTGATTATGATAGAACTTCTAAATTAACTAAATTCTGCGAGAGGATAAAAAGGGGTAACACAAAATTGTGATGTAATTGAGAGAATGTTATGGAGGAACACGATAGAGTAGAGTTGGACTTGAATTCAGTTTGAATCCTTGAGAGAAATAGGCCTATCAAATTGCCTATATTATCGTTCATCTTTATTGTTTTCATTAATGCTTAATAGTAATACATTTACTGTGATATCAATTTCTGCTATTCCCTATTAGTTCGATGCCGATTTTCCTATATTTTCATGATATAATAGAAGTTCTGTTCATTATTATTTATGGATACTATACTACACGCTGCAATATGTAATTGGCAACATAGAATTCTAGATATATTTGTTTGTAATGAACAATAACTAATATAGTGTTGGGTTCGGGTTGAACTGAATGCAATGGATTGTACTCTCCCACCAATCTGCAGTTGTCGAAGATGATGCATCCTTAGTCAAACAGTTTCCGGTTTTCCTCATTTGAGGTATCTTCCTTATTTTTTATGAGAAAATAGCCAAATAACACTAGTGCAGGAAAGATTTTTTACATCGGATGAAAAATACATTTTACATCAGACCTGAGTTTGATGTAAAGTCAAGTAATGTAGTAAATCAAAGACATTTTACATCGGATAACAATCCGATGTGAAAAACACACATACTGCATCAGTTTCCTGTTAAGTCTGATGTGAAAAACAATACAACTTTTCAAAAAAAAAAAAAACACAATATTTAACATCAGTTGTCGTATTGACCCAATATAAAATATGGTTTTTCACACCGGTTGTCTTATTGCCCCGATGTAAAATATGTGTTTTAACATCAGTTACCTTTATGATCCGATGTAAAATGTTGTTGTTTTTTAAAAAAAAAATTGACTATTTTTTAGCGGATTCCATATAAATTTTAAATCTAATATAAATTAAATCCATATTACTTGCACCTTAAATCCAACATAACATAAATACAAATTACAACAACATAAATATCAATAGTATTATAAACTACTATCAATACAGTCTGAACAAAATATGAAAATTGAGATTAGAAAGGAATTTCTTTTTGAAGCAATGAGATACTTTGCAGATTTAGAATTTTCTAAACTTAAAATAACTTTTCAAAATATAAGTATTATTACAACAAAAAATAACAGGAGTATTTGATATGTGCAACTTTCTTCACTAATAACATTTTGCTAAAACTTCACACATAATCATTAATTATCAAGAACAAAAAGTAAAATCAAACCTTGGATTAGGTCAATGCTAGACTCTATTGTTTCTTGAGAATGGCGAGACAGATACTTCCATTATTGTTGATGTTTTAGTGGAATACCTTAGCTCTAAATGCAACCCGTAATTTTAAAATAACTTTGTCATTTCTAGACTATTTAACTAGATATACAGTACAAGATATTTACAAAATTGACTAACAAGCTATTCTAAACTAATAGACTATTTCTAGACTATTCTAAACTAACAAATTGACTAACCAAATAGAACTCATTAACAAACACTAAACAAATTCAAAACAGCCTGCATATGTCATTTTGTACTGAAAATTAACTATTATTTAGTAAAAAGGACCAAACTCCAGATCACTTGGTCACAAAAGCTCCTATTACATCTCATATAAGATAACTAATGAAACATTCCAAAAGATTAATATCAAACAACTAGTTAATCACATGACTTGGTAATAAGGTAAAAGATCATCTGACATAAACCATTTGCAAAATCTTCTCCCCGGCCCTTTCATTTAGCCAATATGCATTGCCAACATTGAACCACATATCAACCTTGGTGTTCACTGTCCAATAGGAAGGTATCACATTACAAATAGCACCATACTAATCAGCCCCAACATCGAATATACAACAAAGTATTACACATGTTTTTAGTCTCTGTAAAACTTACATTGAACATCATACTAAATACATGTAGTTGTGTAATTTGTAGAACTATCAAATAGAAAATAAATAAATAACAAGTTAATGAGAAACCATAAAAACACCTTTATTGACATTCTGACCCATAGGTCCTCCACTTCTAGCAAAGCTCACAGTAACATGATCTGAAACCAAATACAAAAGCAAACCAAAATCAAAACTTTTTCTTGCATCATATATCGAGGGAACGAAAAATTGATGAAAAAGCTACACAGTGGACCCAAAGTAATTTTAGGAATGCGGCCATTGTTATCGGCAAAGAGAGATTGATGTTCAGCTTCTTTGTTGAACTTGTGATAACCAAGAGGAAACTTTGTTCCTAGAATCTGAAGCAGAGGAAGTGCATCGAATTAGGGTGGAAGGGTGCGAAGGGTTTAATTTAAGAGACGGGAGGAAGAAAGGGCGAGAAAGGTTACGAGTAATGGGGAAGAAAAAGGAGGGGTGTACTTGTGTAACTTTCATTACTTAAACCAAACCAGTCAAAAGTTAACAACGGTAGGTGTGATAGGGTGGCAAAACGGACTGTTAATACTGGTTTGCATTTTGTATTCGCAAATGTTGCAGTAAGCAAGAGTCGCCACCGACTTTTCTTTTATCCAACAAAGGAAAGGATGAAAAGAACAGAAAAAGACCTTTTTCGAGATTTCCTGAGTAAGGAGGGTAGATTATGGAAAGGGAAGGTGTTAACACCCTTTCCATCCGTAGTTTTTCACAGGCTGTTAGGTACTTGCTCATTTTTGAAAATTGCTTTTTGTGTTTGTGTGTTTTGTAAAATTTTGTTTGATTTATGATAACTCTTGTATCAGTCCTCAAGAGTGTGATAAAGTATTTTTGAAAAGAATTTTGAAAGTGTGGTGTGAAAATGAATTAGTTTTGAGCAAGTACTTAACAACTATCTACCTACTCGAAAAAAGGCGTTCTTTTCTTCCTCTCCTTTAGATAGTGCTATCCCACTATTAGTGAGTAGGTAGCCCTATCGTTGGATGTTTGAGGGACTATCGAAAGGGACGTTACAGTTACTAAGACAACTGGGCAAGAACTCTTAGTAACTGTCCTAAAGTGATCACTTTTTTAACCGAGGCAACAGTCGAGAGGGTCATCGAGGGACTTGTGATCTTTTGAACTCAAGGACAGTCACTAGAAATTCTCACGTTTCGAGAATTCTGACTGTTTCGAAGGCAACCGAAGTGAGAGATACTCTAGGGGTGCAAGTGTGCAATAGTGTGCTTTTTTCAGGTATTTTTATCTTGATGTTAGTGATCTAAGATTGATTGGTTAGTTCTTGTCATACACGCCTAATTACTAGCAGTTTATATACAGGCATACAATATAGTGCGGAAAGTGAAACCTACAACTATTATAGGGCTTCGGGGCAATTACAGTTATATCTGAATGAAATATAAAGTGCGAAAAGTAAAAATCCTAATTAGGTTATTACAAACCGGGAAACAGTTACATAATCGAGAAAATAATCATACGAAAAATAACAATGCGCGAAAATTAAGATGGGAATAAGTTTTACAAAGCCTAACAATCTAATTGCTTATTAAAATATTTTTGTTATTTTATATGAAAAAGATTTTAGATTTAATCCTAATTTCTAGTTAATTTTAAATTAAAAAAAGATTAAAGTAGTTAAACTAGATTAATTTACAAAATTAATTTTAATTACTTAAAAAAAACCTAATCCTATTTTTTGTGATTTTATAATTTTATGATTAAAATAAAAAATGATTTTAAAAACAAATAAAAATAAAAACAAAGAAATTAAAAAAAATGACAAAAATGAAAAAAAAAAGGGCCTGAAGTGCAATAGCATTCTGGGGGTGTAGCACTGAATTTTTGTCAGAGCCCAGATCTGTTAGCCCATTTCCCTTGCGTGTGATCCAGTAGTATTGCATCTAGAAGGTCCACCATGGGAAAGCACCCCAGGAGCGTTGGATCTGGAACAATGAAGATCTGATGGCTGGATCTGAGGGTGCAATGATACGCGTGGGATGGCAATGCGTTGGATCTGAAACAGATTTGTTAGAAAATACAAAATATAGGATTCTGGGATCGAACCCAAATCCTTTCTCTCACACACCCTATGCCTTTACCACCCGCGTTGCCAATTCATTCATGATTATAATGACACAATAATATTATAATAGTAACTCAATGCTAATCCTAGTCAACAAAAATGCGCACGTCAGCAATATGAAGGAGCCAATCAGATCACAACAAAATGACACGTATGCTCCAAACGGAGTCAAACATGTCAACGATGCCAGAATGGATCTCTGGTCATCTTCTCTGGGAGCACAAAAACGTGATCTGCGAATTTTGGAAGTTTAAACCCTAAATCAAAAGCCTATCCCACGCGAAAACTGCCACTGAGTTCAAATCCAGTCTTAGTTTTCCTGGATCATGCCTGTATCACCTTGTTCAAGACACGATACATATTTTTCCCTAAACATGACCAAATCCTTGATTCACATTGAATCACTCATGCTTCACGTTGGTTCTGTCCTAAATGACATCCTGAATACGAATCATGCCATGAAAGGGATTAATGCATCATAAAATTATCAATATAAAATCAAGAAAATTACCCACGATGATATATTCTGGTTTGCTGGTTATGGGGTGATTTGGCCTTCAAGGATGAATGGGTTGGCTTGTTGAGATCCTCAGGAACGTGAATGGATGGCTGTAAGTGATTGAAATTGGCTGGACAGAGCGAACCAAGGTTGCATTTCTTTGAATTTTTTTGAAACATTAGGGTTCTGTTTTGAGGCTAGCTGCGCATGTGTGTGTGCTTCTGAATGATTGTGTATATGTAGTGTATCTCATTAGGTCAGCAAAAAGAGCAAGGATCCACGAAGTTAAGTGCAATATTTGTTTCAAATATTCACTTGAAAATCTTTCTTATTTTGGATATATTTTCCCCTCTTGGCTTACACGTTTTTACTTTGATATGCCAGCACATTTTACCCATTATTTGATAAGAAAAAGATTCCAAATCAAATCTTCCATTATTTCTATTATTTATTTATTTAATTTTGAATTTTAATGAATAAAATATAAAAATAAATAGCATAAATAATATAATAATGCATGGGTGGGCCTAGAGGTCGTGGACCATGCTAGAAACAAGTTTCAAACATGAAAAAATGGGTCCATTTGGAAAAAAAATCAAGTTTGGTCAAAATTGGCTTCATGCACTTTTCCAAAAATTGGTCAACTTTAGCAATGCATATCTCTCTCATTTTTAACCCTAAGAGGGTGTTCTTTTACTTTTTAGAGAGCATGGGATGTCCTCTAAACAACACTTTTGGTTTCATTTCAATCAGATCTTCAATGTTCATGTAAGGAGCTTTGACCCAAAAAGTGTTTTTGTTGACTTTTTGAAAGGACCTATAATGTCTGAGCTTGCATATTTTAACTGGGGAATTTCTTGAACTTGAGAGATGAATAGAAGTTGTAGGGGATTGGATTCTATTAAAAATGAGCTTTGGTGGAATTTTTTTTGATAAAGTATGCGAAAGTTATGC